TTCGTCAATATAAAAATATTATATTATTCTCATATAAAGTATATAACGCGGAAGGTAAAAAATTCACGCGAACAATACGCACAATAGTGATTGTACATACAAGTCACCATGGTCTCACGTCATTCATTGTGAATACCTCATCTGACGACTTCATCTGAATACTTAGTGAGATTAAAATTGCAATCGTGAATACGGATTTACAATACAGTTCGAATAAATACAAATATATACAAATCATTTTTTTACGAATTTTTTATAAATTAGTTTGGAAAAAAAATTTGTCTATTATTTTTGAAATGATTATAGTTTCTCTTTTATGTTTTTATGTTGTACAATTTAATTTTGCGGCAAATATTTTATATTTTTTGATTAGTAAGATTCTATAGATTCTATACAAATTTTTTCGCTTATTTTCTGAATTGTTACTTGCAATATAATTAGATATATCAAGAAATTACACAGATAACTTATGTAAATATCTCACGCAAATATCTCATGCGAATATGTTACACGAATAAGTTACGGGAATAAATCACGCGAATGTCAATTATATTATATTTTAATGAACGTTTGCATTTATCTTTCGCGATTTGTACGACGCACACGGATTTTACAAACGATCATACGTCTCGCAATCGTCTCGTGTTAATGAACATTGAAAACTATTTTTGTGTACTAGCGCTGATTATGAACCGATAAATGTAGAAGGGTGTATCTCCTTCTTCGATCTCTGGCTGCACTGCAGTCAGAATAGTTATGGACAAAATTAACGGAAAGGCAACCTGGTTGGTAGAAAGAAGAAATCCATTGAAGATAGAAAGTTATAAATGATTCACGTAGTAGATACATGTATGTAAATACATAGTCCTTCTGTATTTACGTGTGATGGCATAATAAAAGAAAATTAATGCGATCGATATTAAAAATTAAATCGCGATTAACACATTTTTCTCTAAATCTCGAGTGATATATTCCGCTAATTTAGTCAGCAAATAAGATTCATTATAAGTCGTGAGTTAGAAATCATACTGGTTCAGTAAGTAAGTCACGCATTCTATAAACGATTTTAATTGCATTTAATATGAAAAATTGCATAAGTGCAAATTAATAAAATTGTAAAAATAAAAACGCGTCAACTGGTAGACTAGAATTTTGAAATCACTAAGAATATTACAAGATTATTAAGCAAACAGAAATCAAGAAATCTCAAGAAAGATATTAATGCCCATTTCCACCAACATAGATTAACTTTAATCTCGGTTTAACTAATTCTAAAGATTAGAAAAAGATAAAGAGTAAGTTGAACCAAGGTTAAAGTTAATCTACATTGATGGAAATGGGTATAAAACTAGTAGAATGTTAAGATTGCTAAAATATTAGAAGTAAGAGAAGATTTAATTTTTCAGATAAAATTAATTTAATACTTTAAATTCATTTTAAAAAAACATTTTACATTTAAAATCTTAATTTTAAAAAATTAAATTTATCTTTTAAAATCACTTTGTGAGAATCACTAATTGTAAGTAGATACATTCGTAAATTATAACGGGACAGTCCACTTCGTTTTGATTAGATAAATTCATAGACTCCACGTTATAGATATTTATAAAAAAAATTAAATATTATAAATATAATTAAAGAAATTATAAGCGATCGTGTTTTTCTCAAATTCTTAAACACGACTGCCCCAACAAAAAGGCTTTCCCTTATGTCAAGTAGATGTTAGCAAATACATGTTTCATACTAATGGAGAAAAGAAATAATTTTCATTGTAGAGGGTTATTTCTCGTTGAATCTCGCGAAATCCATTCGCAATGTCTCATTCGGTATCACGTTGAAAATTATTTGTTGCAGAGCTAGAGTGAATCTCGAGTTTTCTCAGTGGTTGCTAGAAGCATTGATTTCCGCAATAAACTATAAATGACAAAAAAATCTCTTAAAATCGAATCACGAAATTAATTTTTTTATAATACATTCTATATATAAAGTTTTCTTCTTTTTGTTAAATGTTTTTCCATTAATAACAGTACAGTAGTATTTTCTGTCTTTTAAACTGCTAATATCTTAAGTAAAATGTGTAAGGATATAGCGATTATAGATACATAAAAATTTTCGTAATTTAAAGTAAATTTGCATTGTAATTGCGCATACAAAGAATATAGTTATGAATGAATATATTTTAATAAATAATTAGTAATTATTTTTCTATTTCTAATCTAATTTTTCTATTAGATAATCATTTCTAGGCAATGGACATCTTCTGTTCTGAAGACTAATTTTAAGTTTGAAATTCTCAATAAATTTAAAAAATATAATAAAATACATATACAATCTGTAATTTCGTTTTTAACAAATTTTAACTTTTGCCAAAACACAATTCTACAACTTCATTTATATTTTTTAAAATATTTTATCATGAACGAAGATAGAATTATAAATGTGCGGTTAAAAAAATTCGAGATATATCGAATAGATATCCCGATGTCAATGCGATAACAAAAACTTAAATTGTGTGTGTGTGCGTGCGTGCGTGCGTGCGTGCGTGCGTGCGCGTGTGTATATGTGTGTGTGTGTGTGTGTGTGTGTGTGTGTGTGTGTGTGTGTGTGTGTGTGTGTGTGTGTGTATGTGTGTGTGTTTTAGAGAAAAGTAGAAAGCTGATAATTGTTCATTTTATGCAAAAGATTTGAATGGAAATTTTTTTTTAATCTCGTTATTTTGATTTGTCTCGAACAGTCTGAACCCGAGAATAATGAATATTCACATAATAAAAGCGCATATATTATACTTAAATATATTCATTCATAATCACTTTTCAACGGACATCGTTCTATCTATTTATTCAATGAAGACAAATGTTTCTATAATAATGGATAAACACAGTTTTGCTCATAGATTTTTTCTCGCATAATTTCAGATAACGATGATAGAAATGATTAGATTTATCACGAAAATTTGTGAATTGTATAATGTTTGTATGTATAAAGTTTAAAAAGCGATAACTGCCGTTAAATTGCTGCAGAAATCACCATTTTCATTGATAATCTAGACGATCCAAGATTTATTACCTCCTGCAGCGAAGTCCCTGACGTTCGACAAGTCGCTTAACTTTTCTTCGCGAATCGATCCGCAAGACTCAACTAGAAGAGCATGAGTTCGCCTTCCATCATAAAGATTGTTCTTTTCTGTGTCGGATACTAACCACTCGAGAGAGGGACTTTGATCTGCCAAGTTGTTGAGTTAGTTATCCTCCACTGAACGCGACGATAACGTGATTTATTGCGATATTTAGGATCCATCAGACTAGAAAATGAGATGGATTATGTTTTGTAAGCAGTCGTTCTATTGATCGTTTATTCGATATCAATATTCTATACAAAAAGAATCGTTTTCCGTTAAATTATATCAATACGTAAATGAATAAAAATAATGAAAGATTTGCTTCGATTATAAAAATTGAAAATGAATATCGCCAAGTATATCATCGATGAAGTTTATTATCGACGCGATTTTTTGTTAGCATTATTTTTACACCGCGATTTTTTTAATCTTTAAATAAAACAATGTAAGTTAATAGATTTTGTGAGAAATTAATTAAATAAGTAATTATGGTAATTTATTCGATGATTAAATTGCTTTGAGTTTAGATTAAGATTATTTCATATCAGCAATATTTGTTCCATCATTAAAAGTATATCCTTATGTAATTTTAATGATTTATTCCTGATTTATCTTTTAGGACCACTATCTTACAGGTAATTATTCAAGTCCTTAGTTTTTTCATTCTTTTATCACTAATGTTCTTACAGTTTTACATCTCTCTTGTCCCTATCTTCCTGCCAATCGCACTTTGTCTCTCTTGTCCTCCTTATCCTTCCTCCTCTTGATTTATAGTCCTCATTGATCTTTTTCACAAATGAAATCTCGTTCTTCGTTTACGTTTTTATAACGCTTTATTCTACTTTCATTTTCCTTCTTTATTTTTCACATATGTAAACAATCTTGTTTTTTTTTATATTATTGATATTATTGCATTTGTTATAAATTAAATGAGAGCGATTATATATTCAAGTTACTTGAAAATTATAATTTTTAATGTTGTGATATACAGATTATTCGAATCAAACGATTCCACACGATACATTTTTATTCAACAAATTTTCACCTGCAAACCTTATTTGCAGAATCTGTTACGGTTACTAAATGGAAACATTTGTTACGAAACACGTAAAACAATCTTTTGAATTCATTTCAGTTTGTATGTTCAGAAGACTAAGATATCTTTGGATGAACGCCTACGTGGTTTATTTGAGAATAGCAATATTTCATGTGGCATCACTAATGATAATTTTTATGTTCTATAGTAATATGATAATAATTGCAAGCAGAATAATTGCAAGCCTTTTCGCATTTTGAATGTTGCCAGACTTAATATAACTAGATTTGTCACATTCCCATACAACATAGAAGCTTGCAAGATTGTTGTAATGTTTCCAATGTTTCTGCAATATTGCTGGAATGTCGCTACGATATTCTTGAAATCGTCTGTGTTGAATAGGTTTCTAACTATATTGATACTTATATTTAACTATATTTCAGATAGCAAATATACAATTTCAATATCTGAAAAAATTTGTGATACAATATTAGAAAAATTCAATAATGTTTAATTACTCTAAATAAAAAAGCAATCAATCTCAGGAAAGTATTACTATATTATATC